GGACTAATTGCAGCAAATTACAACATAATATACCATTTATGTGACCTTTTGAAGGATATTTGATATTCATTTTCTTATATATGTGAGACCCTGTACAGGCTGTATCCTCGAAGTTTGTGCTTAAGTACTACTCCCTCTAACCTAAAATAACTGTCATTTTATTCCTCAAAATTTGTCCCAAATTAATTATTTGTTTTTCCATTTTTTAGGTAGACAAATATTTTTTCCCTAATTTGATTCTATTATTATCTCTAATCTTTAATTATCCACTCTATCACAAAAATTTACTCTTTATCTTTATCTTTCTTTAAAGAGTAATATAGTCAAACACATAAAACGTCCCCAAATTCTTAATCTGCCAAAAAAGTAAAAAAATTTTGGGAGTATCTATTTAAGAGGAGTTACTTTCGTGGGTGAAGTCTTTTCTTTTTTAGTCCAGTCCAAATGGTCAATTTTACTTGTAAAAAGAGTTTGAGGATCTATTTCACTTCTAAAAGAAACCTTTTAAGGGCTTAATTGCCTTTTTGTGATAAGTTTAATCACTTTTAGATGTTTTCCTCTAAAATAAAAAATAAATTTAAAAGTTTTTGCCATGTATGATTGTAAAGCTTCTATGTGAGATAAGATTGTTCATGTAATATATCCATCAATCATTGTGTTTCTTAACTTTAGCTGACACTAAATAATCAGTAAAGAATATTGGGAAAAAAATAATATGTAAAGAACCTTGAAAAAATAAGAAGACTGAAAGAAAATAATGTGACATAAATACACAAAAGATTCAAATTTAGTTAATTAAAAAAAAATTTTCCATGGCATTATGCATCTGTTAAAACTAGGTAATAATTACAATTTGAACTTCCTTTAATTTTTAAACTAATAAAAAATCTCTAGAATAAATATGTTAAGAGAGGAGACTTTTTAATTCAACCCAAGATAAAACTGATCAGAAAAAAATGTCAGGTACTAAATTGAAAAAAGCAAAAGAGTATAGGAACCAATGATGACATTCACCATTGATTATTTTGCATTCTTTTGTTTTTTTGCCTAATAATGACTTCAAACATAAATAAAATCCCTGTCACTATCTCGTGTCTTTCTTCTACATCCATCTCAGTAGCATACAGGATTTATTGGGTTAGAGCTGCTTCATGCTGAAATGGTTCTAATTACTGAGAAGAAGGTTCATGTTCCCTTTTCTGGAATGCTCAATTCAATTGCTTGTATTATTACTTGCATTTCTTGAAGTTAAATTGTGGTATGTTAAATTGAATAGGGTTAAGTAAGCAAAGAGGAATTATTACTTCTGTCATCTATGCAAGAAGATGTTGATTAGGATTTAAGATCCATTTTCTTCACTGTCTTCAATTTTAATATAGAGTTTCTGATTAAATGTGTTTTAAGATGTTGTATTTTTCTGCTTAAGAGTTGGTTTATTCAATTGCATTTCATGAATGATTGCATCATTGCATGATTGAGTTGAATGGGTTGACCTGATTGCCTTTTGTTATTTGGGAAATTAAAATCTTTTCAGATACACCAAAGAAAAGTGGAAAGGGAAGGAAAGCCAAGCATTCTATTTAAGATTGGGCATATATGGCAGCTTTATTTGGTAGCTTTTTTTAGCCATATTTGGTACTTTTCATTAGAGCATATCTAAGCACTATTGATTTCCGCTGATTCTGACCAAGTTTTTACTGATAGTCAGATACACAATGGAGTTCAGTTCAAAGGGTTTTGTGTTTTGAAAAGTGCAAAACTGGGTGCTAACTAATTCCTGTGCCAGAAAGGAATCCAAAATCACCCAGATTCAGAAACTATCTTATTTGGGATAGTGGGGTGTTAATTAGCTGCCTTAGATAGCATCGATCAGTTGCTGGATACATATCAACATGACAAGTGTTGTTGACGAGTATCAGCAAGGATTCAATGTTTTGGAATTTAAATATCGCCTTGTCTTTCACTTTGGTGTGGGTCAAAATGGATTTTGTGATGGGAGGTAGTGGGAATTCTGGTGATGAACAAGAAGCTTCGCATGCTCAAAAGGGGAAGAAGGCATATCATCGCCACACTGCTCATCAAATTCAGACTCTTGAAGCGTAAGATCACTTCTGCTTTTGCTTTCTTCCAAAAGGTCCCTCTATTATCAACAATTATCATTTTATAATCCCCTTTTGCTTTTAGTTCAATTTATCTTATTCTGTGTATCATCTTATCATAATTTTTCCTAATTCCTTAACGTATGATGTTAAGTTCTATCTTTATTTGACCTAGAAATTAATGTGTTGGTTTCTTTCCCACGGCTGGAATAAGTGTTGAATTTTATTTGGTATGATTACTAGTGTTTGTTTCAATGCTCTTCTTCTCACTCTACTAATGATCTATTATTTCATTCTGGTCATTCTATATCTAGTATGTTATTCACTTTATCCTCAATTTATATGCTTGGCAGTGTCTTATATGTTTTTACTTTATCAAATTCATTTTGTTTCTGTAACGTGATGATTTCTGTTATTCTTATAATGAAGATTCTTCAAGGAGTGCCCCCATCCAGATGAAAACCAGCGACGCCAATTGAGTAGGGAACTTGGTTTGGAAGCTAAACAGATCAAATTTTGGTTTCAAAACAAGAGGACTCAGTCAAAGGTGCTTTGAACAAAGTCTTTTCAGTTGGCAAACCATGTTTATGTTTCCTTGTTCTGTTTCCCTCCTTGTCGCTCATTCTTTTTTGATTGACATTGCCAGGCACAGCATGAGAGAGCAGATAACTCAGTCCTGCGTGCAGAGAATGAAAGGATTAGTTGTGAAAACCACGCAATCAGAGAGGCATTAAAGAATGTCATTTGTCCTGCATGTGGAGGTCCTCCGTTTGGAGAAGAAGAACGTCAGCATAGCCTGCAGAAACTGCAACTTGAAAATGCCCACTTGAAAGAAGAGGCTAGTTATTGATGCTCTCTAACCAAATTTCTCCATGGCTTCTGTCATTTACTTGTATTAATCCATATGCTCATATCTTACAAATACAATTCTAATACCATTGAACTCTAACGACTAATGTCTTTTTGCAGCATGAAAGGGTCTCCAACCTTCTTGCCAAGTATATAGGCAGGCCAATTTCACAAATTGATTTGTTGGCACCAGTGCCAGCATCCTCAATGGATTTACTACCAACAAGTGTCTCCAAACCAGGAATGCAAAACCCACTCCTTGATCTTGATTTAAATCCGGGAATTTCAGGCAATGCTACATTACCTTGCCAATTTAATGGAATCACGGATATGGAAAAGGCACTTATGTCAGAAACTGCTGCCAGTGCTGTGGATGAATTGATCAGGCTTTTGAGAATTAATGAACCTTTGTGGGTCAAGTCCCAGACAGATGGAAGATATGTTATCCAAAGAGATAGCTATGAGAAAATTTTCCCTAGGGCTAATCATTTTAAAAGTTCAACTGCTCGGTTTGAGTCATCAAAAGACTCAGGATTGGTGAGCATGAGTGCAATGCAATTGGTTGACATGTTTCTAGATTCGGTCAGTGCTGATTACACTTACATTCTATGAATCAAGTCTTGATTCCCCATAATGGTGGGAAGACAGTGATAAAGTGATATCATTTCAACTTGCAGGACAAATGGGTGGATCTTTTCCCCACAATTGTTACAAAAGCTAAGACAATTCAAATACTTGAAGATGGGATGATAGGAAACAAGAGTGGTTGTCTGCAGCTGGTAAATGATAATAGGTTCCTCTCTTTTTCTAACATTTTCCCTTAGTCAATTTTATTCACATACTTATACCATTCAAATACCAACTCTAGATGTACGAACAAATGCATATTCTTTCTCCTCTAGTGCCACCTCGGGAATTCTACTTCCTTCGCCACTGTCAGCAAATTGAGGCAGGAGTGTGGGTAGTCATGGATGTTTCTTATGACTTCCTAAAAGTGGTTTCCCGCTCTTGGAAGCTTCCTTCTGGATGCATGATTCAGGACATGCCTAATGGGTGTTCAAAGGTGAGTGACTTCATTACATACCCAGAATCAATTTTTTCTTCATTGCTTGCTACTTGCTAGATACCATTACAAACCACACTTTTCTCTATATTCAATAATTGAGGTTGACTGTGATTAAGGTCAAAGGCTATTTTTATTCTCATCACCAATCTTGAGAGAGTCACTACAATTTTCTTGCCATTTCATGTGACGTAATAGGACTTTATTGGTGAACATCAGCTCATAAGAAAGCATTCCCATGAGGATACTGTAATTGTGTGGAAAAAGATGCATTCATGCAAATGAATGCAAGGAAGATTTTGAATTTGTCTGCAAATAGCATTCACCCTGGCTGGGTTTGAGATCAAATGGCATTCATTATATTAGCAATAGACTTAGCTTGACCATTTCCTTCTCATGTGTGCATGCCTCATTTGACATCATTTTGATTCATTTTCTTTAGTTCCAAATGATAGGCACATTTGTGTCATGTCATTAACATGGTATGTAGTTGGCATATTTGTGTTTTTTTACATGTCTGTATGCTCTCATTCATTCCGGGGTATCTCTCCATATTAGGTTACTTGGATTGAACATATTGAAGTTGATGATAAATCCCAGACTCATCGTCTCTATAGAGACCTCATATGCGGTAGTGCTGCATATGGATCTGGACGCTGGGTTATTTCACTTCGAATGATGTGTGAGAGACTAGCATTCTTAGCAGGGGAAAGTGCACCTAGTCATGATTTTGGAGGAGGTATTCTTCATTGTTGATTTAAATTTCTAGTATCTGTTTTCTTATCTAAGCTATCCTTACTCAAATTGTGGCTAATTTGATGCTGCTTATTATTTAGTGATTACAATGCCTGAGGGAAGGAGGAACACAATCGAGCTTGCCCACAGGATGGTCAAAAGTTTTTGCTCAATCTTGAGCATGTCAGGTAAATTGGATTTTCCTCAACTATCTGAGGTGAACAATAGTGGGGTGCGAGTTTCTGTTCGTAAGAGTACAGAAGCAGGACAACCCAATGGAATGATTGTCAGTGCTGCTAGCTCTCTTTGGCTTCCACTTCCACATGAGAGTGTATTTAGTTTTTTCAGGGATGAAAAAATGCGAGTTCAGGTTAGTATAGGTTGAAAAGATCTTCATTCAGAATTAATCTTGTACAATTTTAAAGTTTTTACTAATATGAGCTATGTAATACTTGTTATTTGTTTTCATCTTCTGTCAGTGGGATGTGCTCTCATGTGGAAATCCTGTCAGTGAGATTGCACACATCTCAACCGGTTTCAACCCCGGGAACTTCATTTCCGTTATTAGGGTAAACTTTTCCTTCCTTGTTGTGTATGGAATGTTGAAACTTTACAATTTATCTAGCAATTGAGTAACTGTAATCATTCTCAAGATGGCTGCAGGTACATTAAGTTGTTGCTAATTGAGTAAATAACTACCCAACTGCTACTGAAAAATTAATAAATTTATATTGCATGAGTTGGGGTTATGAAATGTAAATGCAATTCGTTTCTTTGAGCTGTCATAATTTTTCACCCTTTGTTCATTAATTTCTCACAACTTTCAATGGTATTCATGGGATCTCATAAGTTTTCATATTGTCTACCAATAATTTTCTTTAATGGTACTAATTGATGATACAGCCTTTTGTCCCAACTGAAAGCAACATGGTGATCCTCCAAGAGTGCTCCACAAACTCACTGGGATCCTTGGTAATCTATGCTCCGACAGACATACCAGCTATGAATGCAGCAATAAGCGGTGAGGACCCTTCAAAGATACCCATGCTTCCATCAGGTTTCATAATCTCTGGTGATGGACGTCCAGACACCGGAGGCAGCACTTCAACTAGTGCAAATGTTGCCCCGTCTGGTGGCTCGCTTCTCACAGTGGCTTTCCAGATATTGGTTTCTAGCCCTCCATTGTCAAAGGAGCTGAACATGGAATCTGTGGCAACTATCAATACTCTCATAAGCTCTACTATTCAGAGGATAAAGGCTGCTTTGAGATGCTCTAATTTAGACTGAGTTGTTAGTTGTTAGACTCCGAGCTCAAATGTCAACTTCTCGTCGGCTTCTCTTGCTGCTCTACCATGTCAAACCTCCTTATGCGTGCTTACACATTCTTGATGTCAAAGGTTAAAAACTATACCAATTTAGGCTTTGTTGAAGTTTGTAATATAAAAAAACAAAAAGTATTATGCAATGCAAATTGTCTTAAATTATATAACATAAATTATTAGATGGGATAAATACTTTGATATTAAAACTCTCTTTCATCTAATAGTATTTATTTTACAGT